TGGAAACATAAATCTGCCTCTATTGAGTGTACCAAATAAACGACAGCTGCTTTGGGGGTAGGCTGCTATAATATTACCCTCCCCCCCCCACACACACTATATCGGACACAGGGTCAGTCACTGCCACATAGGAAGAGCCTTTCACAGGTGGATCTTTGCATTCCTAGGACACAAGCCTCCAAAGTCCAGCTAGCTGTACCCCTCAGATCGCTGAAGCAGATCCATCCCATCTTATACCAATGATGAATAGTAACGTACTTCATCTGGCAGAGCGGCCTCCGCCCATATGCCTTACAGCAGGCAAGGAATTCCAGAATTATGTCATAGCTGCAGCATTCATAAAGAGATGACAGCCACCAGGAGTTCCACAATTACATCCTCCTGGTGTAAGTCACAGAGCAGCAGCTGGAGAGAAGAATTAAATTCTTGGGGGAAGATCTGCAGAGATTGAATCAGTTCCTTGGGAATAACAACCAGCTGTTAAGAATAAAGGGTCTCCTTACCGGCACATCGTCCTGCCTGGTGGTGTTTGCATGACAATTTCCAGCGTGACGGTGGGGAGATGACTGAACCAGGCGGGACAGATGAAATGTCTGGATAATAGGGGCTTAGAGCATGACTCCACTCTGCCCTTTAATTGTCCATCCACCCCTCATGCCCCAATTCTTCTTGGCAACTTTAGTCTTTGTATGACTCATGTCATGTTGTATCAGGGGGGTCAGGATGAAATCTGCCCCTAGAAAAATCTCTCTTTTACCCTTATAGTGGATCCCGGTTAAGTAACCCCAAGGACTCCTTTTCCAGCTCCTGTTCCACAGTGCTACCACCAAGCCAGCTACCACCTGGGGAGTAACTGGCGGGGGGGAGGGGGAAGTTATAGAGGATCGCAAATTGAATAGAGGGATGCAGTTGCGAAAAAGGCTAATATTCTGGGGTGTATTAAGATGCGGAGAGCAATTGTCCTGCTCTGCTCAGCCCTGACGAGGCCTCAGCGGGAGTCCTGTATCCCGTTCTGAGGGCCACTCTTTAGGAAACCTGGGTCAATTGGCTAGAGTCCGGAACAGAGCAACAGAAATGCTAAAAGCTTTAGAAAATCTGACCAACAAGGAAAGGTTAAAAACGCTGGACACATTTAACCCTGAGAAAAGAAGACCGAGGGGAGTCCTGATAAATCTTTCAAATATGCGAAGGGCTGTTATAAAGAGGACTGTGATCAATTGTTCTCCGTGTCCACTGAAAGTAGGACAAGAAGTAATTGGCTTTATCTTCAGCAAGGGACATGCACGTTAAATAGTAGGAAGAAACTTTCTAACTCTCAGCTCTGGGACAGGCTTCCAAGGGAGGCAGTGGAATCTCTGTCACTGGAGGATTTTAAGAACAGGTTGGACGAACCCCTGTTAGGGCTGGTCTAGGTTTACTTGGTGCTGCCCCAGCACTGGGGGCTGGACTCTGTGACCTCTTCAGGTCCCTTCCAGATTTCTATGATTCTATGAATACACGAGGAGACTGGCTTGTTGCCCATGAATTCTCCAGCCTACAGTAACTCTGCACTGGGATTCACCTGCCCAGCTATTAAATTAAACAGGGCCCATTGATTCCTCCCCAAGCCTTAGGCAGTGAGACCCAGATCCACCAAGGTTATTAAGCTCCTTCCTTCCATTAATAGCAATGCAAGTTAGGAGCCTAAATACCTTCCTAGATCTGGGGTTCACCCCCTCTCCTGCCTTTCCTGGACGGGAAGAGATTCATTCTGCTTCGCTCTCCAAGTTGCAGCTTTCCCAAGTGTGCAAGCAGCTCGGGCGTGTGGGCAAATCCTTCGCAGGGAGAAGTATTAGGTGGCAAACGTATTATCTAGTCATTTATTGCACGTATTTCCAAAGCACCCAACACACTTAGTGATGCTCGCTGGGGCCGGGCGCTTGGGCCAGGATCCTCAACCACCATGATAAACAATTCACTAATCTAAGCCGTAAATTTTCACTCATGCTACTCTACTTCTCTTTCAGCAGCGTGGGCCCTGGGGTGCACTTGGGGGAAACTGGCTTTGAAAATAAAACCAGCTTCTTTAAGGGGGGGAGGGATAGCTCAGTGGTTTGAGCATTGGCCTGCTAAACCCAGGGTTGTGAGTTCAATCCTTGAGGGGGCCGTTTAGGGATCTGGAGCAAATATTGGGGATTGGTCCTGCTTCAAGCAGGGGGTTGGACTAGATGACCTCCTGAGGTCCCTTCCAACCCTAACCATCTATGAATCTATGAATCATATAAACCCCTTGGAGAGGAAGTGTGGCTAGGGCAGAGGAGGAGGAGCTAAGCCTGTGGCACATGCTGCTGACCCTCCCACCCCCGCGTGTCACATCAGGTAAATTGTTTAATCTCTCTGTGCCTCGGTTTCCCCATCTAAGTCAGCGATTGTACCTGCTGCTCAGCGTCAGGGGGCTGTGAGGCTTAGCTCATGCAGATCCACAAAGTGCTGGGAGATCTGCAGGTGAATGTTACGTTTACAGGCTGCCTAGGAAATAAACCAATCAGCAATAAACCGGGTGTGGCCAAGTGCTGGTCCTGGGGCATGTACACAGGGCCCTGGCCCCACAGCTCAGCCCTTGAACTCCGAGGGGGTCTGAGTTCTGGGCCACATGGCTGCAGGCAGCAAGCAGTGGCTGCTAGAAGCAGACACAACCTAGCCTTAATGGTGGGAGACCTGCAGGGCACGGATTGGGAGGGATTCTCAGCAGTAGCCAGGAAGGATGTGTCGTCTCTCCTTCCCAGCTGGGGGAAAGCGGGGACGTCTCTGTCCCTAACGATACATCTCCACTGCAATAAAAGACCCACAGCCCGGCCGTGGCTGGCCCAGGTCAGCTGGTTGAGGCTTGCGGGATTTGGGCTAGGGGGGCTATAAAATTGCAGGGCAAATCTTGTGGCTCAAACTGGAGCCTGGGCTCTGAAACCCAGTGATGGGGGGGTGGGTCTCAGCGCCTAGACTCCAGTCTGAGCCCCACCATCTACCCTGCAATGTTTAGCACCATGAGCCCAAGTCAATTGACCCATGCTCTGAGACTTGGTGCTGCGGGGTTTTTGTATCTTCTCTTGATTAACAAACACACCCTGAGGAACATAGCGATTGCCAGAATGCACCAGACCGGGGTCCATCTAGGCCAGTTTCCTCTCTGAGAGTGGCCCCCACCAGCTACGGCTGCAGAAAGTGCAAGGAGATCAAGTGTCAATCTGTGGGCAGCAGATTATCTTTAACACCTGGCCTTTGCTTGGCCTGCCCTGCCTGGTGAATCTGCCCACAGCATATACCAGGATTGATTTACAACAGAGTCCAGATTATCCAAGATCTCTTCCAAACAAGCTGCTGCCATGTCTCCCGTCTCTGCTGATTCCCAGTTTATTGGTTCCCATTTCTCTAAACTGATTCCCTGTGCTCCCTGCCTTGCTTTCCCCAGTTGGTTCTCAAAGATGCTGAAGTTCAATAATCACAGATGGCTAATGTCTGGGACCAGTAGCAGATGATGCCTTCCCCAGAGCCTGGTGAAGCATCAGGGAGTCAGTTTCCTTCAGCTGCGGGCTACCTGTGGTCTCTCTCTGGGATTCAGATTAGAACAGGCTGCCCAAAAGGCAAAGTGAAACTTGGCCAAAAGCACCAAGTTATATGTAAGTTAACCCATGGTCCAGTGTGCGTATCTCCTCCGCTGGGCCTCATGCAGAGGATGGCGTCTATTCCAGCTCCCAGCCATAGGTCACAATCCTTTAGCTCGAGTGTAGAGGGTGATGCTTTTAGCTCCGGAGGTCTCCAGGGTCGGCCAAGGTGGGCCGTGTTTATATGTGTTTCTAAGCCCTGCATGGCTCTGACATGGGTGTTCAGCTGGTTTCAGGTCTCGGGGCAAGCTGAGCCCAGATCTTGTGCGCTCTCCCAACTCTTTCCAGCTAGCCTTGATCTCACTGGGAGGGAGCTGCCGGGATCGGACGGAGTTTTGCTTTTGGGGCAAGGTGGTGGAATTTAGTGGGTTTTGACTGAATTTCACAGTTTTTTGAGGGAGTTGTTTGAACCGCAAAGAGAAGCTCAAGACTGTGGCCAAAGCTTAAGGGCTGCAAAGCCCCTGCAGGCGGTGGCCAAAGAAATGGAACCCAGGAGCTCCCCAGAGCTCTGCTTGGCATGTCATGGGGGGAAGGCAACAACTTAAACAGCCAAAGCTGCAAGCAGCCTGCAGCCTCTTCCCTGGGGCTGGGACCTTCAAGTGGTTAGGTTTTCAACAAGCTTTGCCAAACAGGCCCTCCCCTATTTGGAAACAACATTTTGATCCACTCCAGGTGAAGGCTGCCTGCTGGCATCAGAGAAAAACAGCAGCACAGATGTCAAAAACAGGTTTCAGAGGGGTAGCTGTGTTAGTCTGTATCAGCAAAAACAAGGAGGAGTCCTTGGGGCACTGTAGAGACGAACACATTTATTTAGGCATAAGAATATAAAAAAGAATCCCTCGCAAGGGCCAGACCGGAGCGTCCAGCCCCTTCTCTGACCGTGGCCAGCACTTCAGAGGAAGATGCAAGAGACCTTAAAATGCTGGATTATAGCTCAAGCTCTCCAGGGGGAGGGTCCTTCCTGACCACATGGGGTTTGCTTTGCGCCCTGAAGCATGAGGTTGTCTAACCCTGTTCATTCTTTACCTCCCCGCCGGGGTCTGGCTGGGGGGGCTGCTCAGCCCCAGAAATGCCCGACCTTTTACTGAGTAACAAGCTCACCGCCGTTTGGCTGGCGGGGGAAGGGAAACCACGGCGCTGGGCTGCGAGACGCCGCCGGAGAACGCATCGTAGCTGAGCCCTGAGCGGGACCCCCCGCCCCAGCCAGGTGGGGGAAGCTGGGAAGCGACTGAGAGCCCAGCAGGCGGAGTCCCCACCCCCTCCGGCCCAGTAAGTCGCCGGGCTGCGCGGAGGGAGGGGCTGGGGGAGGAGAGAAAGGGCCCGGGGAGGAGGCGAGGTGACATGTGAGTGTAAGCAAAAGGCAGGTGGGAAATCGAGCGGCATGGAGAGGGGCCGGGGAGAGCTCGGGGCTGGGAGGGCGGCGGAGGCTCGGAGTCCTGCGCGATTCGCTGCGCTTTGACGCTAACCAGCCCCCCGGAGTGCCATGTAAACTGCAACTCCTGGAAACTTCGGCGGCTCTGCCAGGCTTCGGCGCAGGAGCCTCGGGACGCGTCCGCCGCCCCCCGCCGCCGCCGAGGTGGGGGGGGCTCTCCCCGCTGCTCGGGGAGGGACGCTGCGTGTCGCCCTCCACCCCAGCCCGCTCCAGCTCCATCGCCGCCCCTTTCGGATGGGCTGAGGCTGCGGGACGTCCCGGGCTCCTTTCCCGGCCTCCTGCGCGGAGCGCACCGGGCGGACCCGGACTTGCAGGGGCGCGCGGTCCCCTCGCTGCCCGGGGCAGGAGCGCCAGCAAAGGGCCCCCTTCGGGGAGCCAGGGGGCGCGCGGGGAGCTCCCCTCCCTCCGTCCCAGCCCGGGGCCCGGACTCGCCTGAAGCTCGGGCCATGCGGGGCCGGCCCGTCCGGGGGCCCCGCTCCGTGCCCTGAGCGCGCCATGGCCGGGCTGCAGCCGCCCGGCGAGGGGGACCTCCCCATGCTCTCGCCGCCCCCGATCCCCGGCGACCCCCGGCGCGGGGAGTTCGTCGCCCTCACCGCGGTGCAGACGGAGAAGAGCGAGCCGCCCGCGGGCAGCCCCCGGCGCCTGGGGCTGCTGGGGACCCCGCTGCCAGCGCCGCCCGGCGGGGCGGCCTCCCGCTCCGCCGCGCACAAGCGCTATCGGCGCCTTCAAAACTGTCTGTACAACGTGCTGGAGAGACCCCGCGGCTGGGCGTTCGTCTACCACGCCTTCATGTGAGTCCGCCTGCCCCCCAGCCTGCCCCCCAGCCTGCCCGCCTTCCTGTGAGTCCGCCTGCCCCCCAGCCTGCCCCCCAGCTACCCGCCTTCCTGTGAGTCCGCCTGCCCCCCAGCTACCCGCCTTCAGCCTGCCCCCCAGCTACCCGCCTTCCTGTGAGTCCGCCTGCCCCCCAGCCTCCCCCTCAGCTACCCGCCTTCCTGTGAGTCCGCCTGCCCCCCAGCCTGCCCCCTCAGCTACCCGCCTTCCTGTGAGTCCCCTGCCCCCAGCCTGCCCCCTCAGCTACCCGCCTTCCTGTGAGTCCGCCTGCCCCCCAGCCTGCCCCCCAGCTGCCCGCCTTCCTGTGAGTCCGCCTGCCCCCCAGCCTGCCCCCCAGCTACCCGCCTTCCTGTGAGTCCGCCTGCCCCCCAGCTACCCGCCTTCAGCCTGCCCCCCAGCTACCCGCCTTCAGCCTGCCCCCCCAGCTACCCGCCTTCCTGTGAGTCCGCCTGCCCCCCAGCCTGCCCCCTCAGCTACCCGCCTTCCTGTGAGTCCGCCTGCCCCCCAGCCTGCCCCCCAGCTACCCGCCTTCCTGTGAGTCCGCCTGCCCCCCAGCTACCCGCCTTCAGCCTGCCCCCCAGCTACCCGCCTTCATGTGAGTCCGCCTGCCCCCCAGCCTGCCCCCCAGCCTGCCCGCCTTCCTGTGAGTCCGCCTGCCCCCCAGCCTGCCCCCAGCTACCCGCCTTCCTGTGAGTCCGCCTGCCCCCCAGCTACCCGCCTTCAGCCTGCCCCCCAGCTACCCGCCTTCTGTGAGTCCGCCTGCCCCCCAGCCTGCCCCCCAGCCTGCCCGCCTTCCTGTGAGTCCGCCTGCCCCCCAGCTACCCCCTTCAGCCTGCCCCCCAGCTACCCGCCTTCCTGTGAGTCCGCCTGCCCCCCAGCCTGCCCCCCAGCCTGCCCGCCTTCCTGTGAGTCCGCCTGCCCCCCAGCCTGCCCGCCTTCCTGTGAGTCCGCCTGCCCCCCAGCCTGCCCCCCAGCTACCCGCCTTCATGTGAGTCCGCCTGCCCCCCAGACTGCCCCCCAGCCTGCCCGCCTTCCTGTGAGTCCGCCTGCCCCCCCAGCTACCCGCCTTCCTGTGAGTCCGCCTGCCCCCCAGCTACCCGCCTTCAGCCTGCCCCCCAGCTACCCGCCTTCCTGTGAGTCCGCCTGCCCCCCAGCCTGCCCCCCAGCTACCCGCCTTCCTGTGAGTCCGCCTGCCCCCCAGCCTGCCCCCCAGCTACCCGCCTTCCTGTGAGTCCGCCTGCCCCCCAGCCTGCCCCCCAGCTACCCGCCTTCAGCCTGCCCCCCAGCTACCCGCCTTCAGCCTGCCCCCCAGCTACCCGCCTTCCTGTGAGTCCGCCTGCCCCCCCAGCTACCCGCCTTCCTGTGAGTCCGCCTGCCCCCCCAGCTACCCGCCTTCCTGTGAGTCCGCCTGCCCCCCCTAGCTACCCGCCTTCCTGTGAGTCCGCCGGCCCCCATCCCCGCCCCCCAGCCTCCCCCCCAGCTACCCGCCTTCCTGTGAGTCCGCCGGCCCCCAGCCTGCCCCCCCAGCTACCCGCCTTCCTGTGAGTCCGCCGCCCCCTCCCCTGCCCCCCAGCCTGCCCCCCAGCTACCCGCCTTCCTGTGAGTCCGCCTGCCCCCAGCTACCCCCTTCAGCCTGCCCCCCAGCTACCCGCCTTCCTGTGAGTCCGCCTGCCCCCCAGCCTGCCCCCCAGCTACCCGCCTTCCTGTGAGTCCGCCTGCCCCCCAGCCTGCCCCCCAGCTACCCGCCTTCCTGTGAGTCCGCCTGCCCCCCAGCTACCCGCCTTCCTGTGAGTCCGCCTGCCCCCCCAGCTACCCGCCTTCCTGTGAGTCCGCCTGCCCCCCCAGCTACCCGCCTTCCTGTGAGTCCGCCGGGCCCCCATCCCCGTCCCCCCAGTCTGCCCCCCCCAGCTACCTGCCTTCCTGTGAGTCCGCTGGGCCCCCAGCCTGCCCCCTCCAGCTACCCGCCTTCCTGTGAGTCCGCCGGGCCCCCATCCCCCTGCCCCCCAGCCTGCCCCCCCAGCTACCCGCCTTCATGTGAGTCCGCCGGGCACCCACCTGGGGGGCGCCCTACCCCTTTCCCTCCAGCCTGATACCCAGCTACCTGCCTTCATGTGGGTCCCACCAGGCCCTCAGCCTGGAGCGGGTTCCCATCCCTGGGCCCCCCCCAACCTGTCCTCAACCCCTGGCTCCTGGGTGCCCTCAGCCTGACACCCATCCACCCACCTTCATGTGGCCCTGTCTGACCCCTAGGTCCCTAACCTCACCACATCCCTGGGGTGGCAGGGTCCAGCATGTGAGAGGGGTCCCAGCCTGACCCTTCAGGATAACACCATCCTCTGAGCCCCCCTAGCCCTTCCCCCATCTACACACCTTCATCCCAGTACTGGGCCAGGTTGGCTCATCTGTAGGGGTCCCATCAACTATTCCCCCATCTCTATCCTGACCCCTAATCTCCCAAGGACCAGCCCACCAATCTAATCCCCAGGAGGTCCCTCATCCTCCTTCCCCAGTGCCATGTGTTTGTGTGGGTACTTTGGCTCCTGCATAACCCCACCATCCACACCTCACAACTATTAGGCTCTTGCCTGAGTTCTGGATAGGGGAGCATCCCTGGTCCCCATCCCAGTCCTCACTGCACCACTCCAGTCTGCATAGACAGTACCTGTCTCTCAATGCTGGTCCCCATGGGGGTCCTTCTCGTCTCCAGTCTCGGGTTTCATCTCCACTCTTTTTCACCAGTCCCCTTTTCTCCTCGCCCACATCCTTTCTCTCAGGGCTGATTCCTACCCGAGCTTCTTTCCAGTCCTTCCTCCGCTCCACCCCTCTTCCACCAATGCTATCCTAACCCTGAAGTCCTTTCTTGATCCAGTATCCACCAGCTTCTAGTCCTGATCCCCTTCCGCTATTTCAGCCCACCTTTCACAATCCATCTCTTCCTTCCAGGTGGCCAGTTCTCTTGTCAATCCCCTTTCTACCTTAAACCCCCTGCAAAGAGCTCTGAACTGCCAGCAGAACCTGCTGGGGGAGTCCCCAGGGGTCCGCGTTCCTCTGTCTTGTCTCCATGTGAATGTAAAGAATCCACACCTGCTTGCATACAGCTTCAAAACTCTTCCAAAATTTGCACTAGTTTCCTACGAATTTAGTTCACACCTTTCAAATCCAGGTACATGTTGTTAACAGCCTTGTCTGTGTTCCACTTCATTGACTAGTGTGTTGAGTTTTCGACTAACATCTTATTTTGGGAGGAGGGGGGTTGGGTTACAAACAACTTTTGTGGCTTGCTTTTTTAAAAAAAAAGCACTCCATTGTTTGAACTTTGTGTCAAGTCTCAGACGAGGTGAGAATACCTCCCAGATCATTTCCTCTCAGTTTGTTTCTTTTTCAAGTTTCAGAGTAACAGCCGTGTTAGTCTGTATTCGCAAAAAGAAAAGGAGGACTTGTGGCACCTTAGAGACTAAAAGGTTAGTCTGTAAGGTGCCACAAGTACTCCTTTTCTTTTTTCTTTTTCAAGTTTGAGATAGTATCTTCTGCTTTGCATGACTTCAAATTAAAAAGGTAGGGGTTTTTTTAGTGTTAAATAACAATGTTGATAGTTTATTAGCTCCAAGCCCTGGAATGGACCCAGAACATAAACACAGGCTTGCTTTCTGGGTCTGCCTTCCCTAGATATTAACTGGCCCGAAGGTTTTGCGGCTGTCATGAACTATAGCGTAGCTGTGATAATCCAGGAAAGCAAATGGAACCCCTGAAAAAAAAAACCCTTTCCCAGCATGGGAAATGATGTATGTATTGTGGCCCAAGGGATATTGGTTGCTTAGTTTAGCTTCTTTCTGAAGAAACAAAAGATTTGTGTTAATCCCCCTTCAGACTTTGACCCTAAAGTTTTTGTTTGACTGTTTGGAATTTTCAATTTAAAAATCAAAGAAGCTCAAACATAATAATACTAAAGACCTAGAAGTGGGATGAGTTGCCCTCCATTCTCGCTTGGAGAGAAAACAAGAAACATTTGTCTGACTATTTCTGTTTATTTTTCTTAAAATGCAAATCAAGGGTCTGTCCTAGAAAGAACTCCTGACTTTCAGAAAGGCAGGAGCGGTGATGCCTTGGTTCTACAGGGCTGGGCCCTAGAAAAACAATCCTCACTTAACAGATCTCTGGTGGGTGAGCTGCCTGGTATGTACATGAGTCTGTTAATTTCGTTAACAAACTCCCATTCTCAGGGATGGCAAAGGGAAGCCAGCGTCATTTATCAAACGGTGACTTAGAAGGGAACGGACTTGTGTGTGCGTGCTCTGGGGAGACACGGAATGAAGAGTGATTGCGTTAGAGGACACCAGCTCAGCACGGGCTGTGACATGATTGGTTTTGTATAGAATGCAAGGCATTCATGATCGGTGCCTTACTAGTGCAGTGCAGACATTTCTTGGGTTCAGCAGAAATGGTAATTATTGAGAAACGAAAGGGGGACCAGGAGGCCTCCAAACCTTGTCGCTCCAGTGTCAGCTGGTGTTAATTTGGGGGAATGGGGCTTTGCCACAGAAAATTAGCGAGTTGTCTTTCTGCCTAATTAGATAGCTTGTGATTTTTTTGTGCTTAAAACAGTTGCAATGGTGCTCTGGGTAAATAGGAGGTCCATAAATCAAAGAGCAGGTGTTCTGTGTCCCAGAGGCACGTTTTTTCCTCTTTTAAGTGGGTTATTTCAGCCAGCGCGCTCTTACCGTATTTCTCTTTAGTTATACAAAGGCAAAGGAAGAAACAGCAGTAGGAAAACTCCCTGCCCTGATCCTAGGGTGCTAGCTCCCTTGGCAGAAGTGTTGGGAACCTCTTTGCATAGGTAGAATGAATTAGGAACCCCAATGTCTGCCCCATGAAAGGGTCTCTCCCTGGGTGGAACGCCACTGGAATTATGCATATTGGAATCGGGCTAGATCTGTAAGGGAGACTCAAACACTAGGCACTG